TCAGTGAGTGGATGCAAAACAACTTCCTTCAGCTAAACGCAGACAAAACTGAAATGATTGTCTTTGGTCCCCAGAAACAAAGAGAGAGCGTTATTCGTCACCTCCAGTCACTTTCCCTAAAACCTTCAAACAAGGTCAGAAATCTAGGGGTAATACTGGACTCAGACTTAAATTTTAATAGCCACATCAAAAAGTAACATCAGCAGCTTTTTACCATCTAAAAAACATTGCCAGGATCAAAAACATAGTGTCTAAAGCAGACCTGGAGATTCTTATCCATGCATTTGTCTCCAGTAGGTTAGACTACTGCAATGGCCTGCTCACAGGTCTGTCCAAACAGGCTGTAAAACAGCTGCAGTACATTCAAAATGCAGCAGCTCGAGTCCTGACAAGAACCAGGAAGTACGACCATATTAGTCCTGACTAGAACCAGGAAGTACGACCATATTAGTCCTGACTAGAACCAGGAAGTACGACCACATTAGTCCTGACTAGAACCAGGAAGTTCGACCACATTAGTCCGGTCCTCAGGTCTCTGCACTGGCTTCCTGTGGCTCAGAGAATAGACTTTAAAACAGCTCTGCTTGTTACAAGTCTCTCCATGGCCTCGCACCAAAATATATTAGTGACATGTTAGTCCCATATGAACCAGCCCGGACTCTGAGGAGCACAGGGACTGGACTCCTGCTGGGACTCTGAGGAGCACAGGGACTGGACTCCTGCTGGGACTCTGAGGAGCACAGGGACTGGACTCCTGCTGGGACTCTGAGGAGCACAGGGACTGGACTCCTGCTGGGACTCTGAGGAGCACAGGGACTGGACTCCTGCTGGGACTCTGAGGAGCACAGGGACTGGACTCCTGTTAAGCTCACCGCACACCGAAACGCAGCGCCTCGCGGCGCGTCATTTGACGCGCGTTCATGACATGTGTCAAATTACACCGGAACGCCTTGGCTAGCGTCCTTTTCCAGCTGATCGCAGATGAAATGGGTGAGTGACGTTTGGAAGTTTCTACTAATATTTTGGGGGAGGAAACAAAGTATTTACGTGAAATTATGCTGGCAAATATTACAAGAAAAGACTATTTGGACCCATTTTTTAAACAGGCTAATAACTAGCTCTGGGTAACGCTGTACTTGGGTTATCAAGCTTTCCTCGTCCATTGTGACCGGTTTACTTGAGCAATAGCGCCGACAAGTGTGTAAATTTGAGACCGCGCTCACAGCTACGTGATAAGAAGCGCAGAAGAAGAAAACTACGGGTGCTTGGAGGGACAGTTTCAGCCGCGGCGCCGCGTCTGGATTCAACAAAACTGAATCGTGGCGCCCGGTCCAGCGTCGCCGCGCGTCACTGCAACCTTGGTGTGCGTTCTCTCATAGAAAATAAAGGAGGCGGCTCTTTTGCCGCGCGTCAAGGCGTTTCGGTGTGCGTTGGGCTTTAGTGTCCAGAGTCAGAACTAAACATGGGGAGGCTGCTTTTCAGATTCATGCTGCTAAAATCTGGAACAGTCTTCCTGAAGATGTGAGACAGGCCTCCTCTCTGACTATGTTTAAAACCAGGTTAAAGACAGTTCTGTTTAGCTGTGCTACAACTGAGGGATTTTATATTTTTATCTTTATTTTTAATGCACTGTGATTATTTATGATTTTAATGCTTTCTTGTTCAGCACTTTGAGTTGCCTTTGTATGAACTGTGCTATACAAATAAACTTGCCTTGCACAGTTTGGGACGGGCCCAAATCTTCATAAAGTCAAAGTCAAATCTCTCATTAGAGTCCTTTAAAATGTTGTTGTCATGGTTACTGTCGCTCCTCGATGACCTCATCTCTAATCTGATCAGAAAACTCTAGAGTGATGTGATAGAAGCCGTCTCCACGGCGACCACGTTCTCTCTCTACAGAACCCGGTCTGAGGACTCATTTCATGGTTTCTTCAGTTTTGAAGAGTCGCATTTTCTTGAGTTCGTGACAAACACAGTTTGACATGTTTTGTTGTTTGCAAACGTCTGAGGTGAGTCGGTGAACGTTAGCTTAACGTGTTTGGACGTATACTTCAATATATATAACTCTAAAAGTAGATTACAAAAGTATTGTTTATTTATTTAGTCTTTGTTTGAAGGAACAATGTGGAGACATTAAGGTCAGAGACAGATCTGCAGCAGATTCAAGCTAACAGTAAACACACGGAGACCGTAAATACTTTATAATACTGTATATAAATACATACTATAGATTATATAGATACAGTAAAGTACCACAGAAATACTATAGATTATATAGATACAGTGAAGTACCACAGAAATACTATAGATTATATAGATACAGTAAAGTACCACAGAAATACTATAGATTATATAGATACAGTAAAGTACCACAGAAATACTATAGATTATATGAATACTATGATTATCTAGATACATAATTACTTTAATAAAATACAGGCTTATTTTTATAACAGAAGATGAAGATGAAGCTTTATCTTTAGGTGAAGTTTCTCTTCATTTTAAACCAAGAGGTGTTCTTTGGTTCTGCTCCAGGCGTTAGCTAGCAATGCTATTAGCGTAACGTGAGTTAGCTAGCGATGTTATTATGTTAACGTGGGTTAGCTAGCAATGCTATTATGTTAACGTGGGTTAGCTAGCAATAGTATTAGCTTAACGTGGGTTAGCTAGCGATACTATTAGCTTAACGTGGGTTAGCTAGCGATGCTATTATGTTAACGTGGGTTGGTCAGCAATGCTAATAGCTTAACGTGGGTTAGCTAGCGATGCTATTATGTTAACGTGGGTTAGCTAGCAATAGTATTAGCTTAACGTGGGTTAGCTAGCAATACTATTAGCTTAACGTGGGTTAGCTAGCGATGCTATTATGTTAACGTGGGTTGGTCAGCAATGCTAATAGCTTAACGTGGGTTAGCTAGCGATGCTATTAGCTTAACGTGGGTTAGCTAGCGATGCTATTAGCTTAACGTGGGTTAGCTAGCGATGCTATTAGCTTAACGTGGGTTAGCTAGCGATGCTATTAGCTTCACGTGGGTTAGCTAGCGATGCTATTAGCTTAACGTGGGTTAGCTAGCGATGCTATTAGCTTAACGTGGGTTAGCTAGCGATGCTATTAGCTTAACGTGGGTTAGCTAGCGATGCTATTATGTTAACGTGGGTTAGCTAGCGATGCTATTAGCTTCACGTGGGTTAGCTAGCGATGCTATTAGCTTCACGTGGGTCAGTGCAGTTCAGAGGTGGACGTTCAAACTAAAGTACATGTGTAAAAGCTGATGGTGCGTTCAGACCAAACGCGATTTCTGCGGCCAAATCGCGTCTATCGCGCGGCTTGAGCCGCTTGTGACAAATTGGGGCAGCCGCTGTCACAGAGCGTTGAGAGCGTTTAGGGGCGGGGCTTGTCTCTTTTGCCTGTAGCTTCCCAACATGGATGTCAGCGAAGGAGTTGCTTTATCTGATAAATAAAGCCAGACACGTCGTCAAAGGGCGAATCGACGACGTGTCTGGATTCATCAGATAGTCCGTAGACGGTTGGAGTTTGGTGAGTTTCACCATTTGCTCCGGGAGCTGCGCTCGGATGAGGGCATGGACGTCGGAACTATTTTCTGAGAGGGGGGGCGGGTTTTTGTTGGGAGAGTCGAGGGAGAGACTCATACTTGGATTACACTGGATAATAACATACCATCTTAATTGTTAAGAAAAACAAAATAAACAATATATATCAAGCAAGTCACTTATCAAACTGAACTTTTTTTTTTCAATACGCATTCATGCGTCAGTCTCTCCGGTGGCTTCATTGTGTTGTGTAGCCCAGTGACGTGCGGTCAGATGAGGCAGGCAAGGCCCTCACCTAAGATCATAGAAAGAAAAGTAATAAAATGGATACAATAATGTTTGGTCACTTTATCAAGTGATTTGTGCTGTGTCTTATTTCATTTATTTATACCTTGAAATCGCAGATTTGACAGAGCGGTGCTGTGAGGCGAGCCTCTCTTGGGAGACGTAAAAAGCAACAGCTCACAGGGAGAGTCCTGTGAGGTGCTATCAAACTGTTTTCTCTGTTTATCACAGTTTAAAAAGTTCAAAAATATTTAATTTACAATCAACATGTTTACATTTAAGAGGATGGCTCATAAATTGTGTTTTTGAAGCAAATATGGGTCTTAATCGCGCTCAACCACAGCTTGTAAGTGAGGAAAGCCTCAGGGGGGCGCTTGTGAGCCCAAACTTTGGCTGCATCCAATTCCATCAGAAAGCTCCTTTCTTGTTCTTCTTCTGCTAAGGGCAGCTACAGGTTTGGCTAACATACCTATAATACATTTTAAGATAATTTAAAATGCACTTAGAGTAATGTTTTGCTTCCAATGATGATATGAATCATAAGAAAAGGAGGTGAAGGGTAAGGTTGAATTTAGAAATTGGATTTAACCGGGAGTCGGCTGCAGCAAAACTCGGAGTTTACGGAGGAGACACCCGTTTTTTTTACTTTTTAAAACTCATTGAACTTATTTCCAAATGGAGGATTACATGTCTGTGCTCAAACTATTATCTGGACTTAAACATGAAACTGGTCCTAACTGAAGTGGTCTGTGCTGTTCATTAATACCTAAGGTAAGGCCCATAACACACTTTGTACTTTTTACAAACGTTTGCGTTTTGTATGAGAAAACAATGCAGACATTAAATCATATTCTGCTGTAGCCAAACAAATTGTGTATAAGCCGCTCCTGTTCCTGTTGGTTTATATGATGTATAATCATATGAACACATGATTGATCCCCCACCGCACGTCACTGGTGTAGCCAGGTCTCTAATCTGCGCAAGGCTGAGAAAGAGCGCTCAGAGGCTGCGACAGATATTAGCCAGACAGAGCTTCATAAGCTTCTCCGACAGCATGGAGCGGGTTTTGGGCTGCAAGGAACGCAGGATAGTGATAACTTCTCGCTCCCGGCACACGCGGAGGGGGTGCGGCCGCACCCCCCGCACCCCTAGTTCCGACGTCTATGGATGAGGGTCGCTTTCAGCGGTACTTTCGTCTCTCCCTTGCCCAGTTTGACGACCTACTGACCCGCATTGGCGCAAGGATCACCTACCAGGACACCAACTACAGGCGCTCTATTCCAGCTGAAGAGCGCCTGTCCATCTGTCTGCGGTTAGTGTTTTTTACCCCATTCAGAATTCATAAATACTTACAAAGTGTGTCATTTTTCAATCACAATCCACAATGTAATAGCTCAGAAAACAGTATTATGCAACAATATGGTGTCTATGATTACTGTCTATGATGTTTACTGTCTACTAGTTTAACGTATTTTATGCTACACAAGTTTTGTCACGTGATTTTTATGAATGTAATTGTGATAAATATGTTCATATCATTTTGTAATTGCAGGTTTCTAGCCACTGGGGACTCCTACAGGACCATTGCGGGGAGCTTCAGAGCGGGCATATCCACCGTCTCCATGCTCATCCCAGATGTGGTGGCAGCCATCTGGGACTGCCTCGTGGAGGAGTTCATGGCTGTGCCTGGAGCAGAGGAGTGGAGGTCCGATGGAACTTCCCTCTGTGCTGTGGGGCCATTGATGGGAAGCATGTGGCTGTGAAGGCACCCCCCAACTCTGGGTCCATGTTTTTTAATTATAAGGGGCACCATTCCCTTGTGCTCCTGGCTGTAGTGGATGCCCAGTACAGGTTCAGGGTGATTGATGTGGGAGGGTACGGCAGATCCAGCGATGGAGGCATCATGGCCAACTCTGCCTTTGGTGAGGCTCTGCGCGAGGGCACACTCGACCTGCCTCCTGACCAGTGCATACCTGGAGCTGACCACAGAGGACCCCAGCCCCATGTGTTCGTGGCAGATGAGGCCTTTTCACTGCGCTGCAATTTAATGCGCCCTGCCCATCTCCAGCCATGAGGATGGCTGGAGATGGGCAGGTTCCTGCACCGAGGGGAGCTGCTGCCGGTGAAGAACCACTTCCAGGCGTGCAGCGGATGGCCGCCTGGAAGCCAGCAGTGGACATAAGGAAAGTGTTCATGGCCCACTTCAGTGAGGAGGGAGCACTGCCGTGGCAGCCCACAGAGTAGTCATGTCCACCACAAGACTGACCCACATCTGGCCATAGTCCAAACCCATATTGATTTGCACTATTCTATTCACCTGTATACCTTCTGTTTCTAGGTAATGACTGCCAGACTCCACTGCGACTCCACTCCAACTTCAGGTTAATCAAATGCACATTCAAGCTTTTCCGTAATTACAAGGTTGTTAAAACAGTAAACGGTGAAATGAATAAAAAATACTGTCAACTACTGTATCGCTCTTTAAGTGTTATTCCATCTTCTATAAAACCCAGTCAGCTCTTATAAAAGTAAATGTACAAATATAGAATAGCATTTTCTGTCAATATTATATGAAAGGTAGTAATGGTTGGCTTGAAGTAGAACACATGAGGTTTGAAAAATATTTTCTTTATAAAAAAGGAACAAACAATGAAAAATAAATGAAATGTACATATAAACAAATGAAAAGGAGCTTGCTTGGAGGAGGTGCGGTGGAAGAGGAAAGGGACACATGTCTGTTTCCTCCCCTGCAAAAGGTGTCACCTTAGGTAAAAAAACTGTCTGTTCTGGCCACTGGTTCCAAATTAAGCAGAACGGTGCTGCTTTCATATAAAAGTTGGTACATTTTGAATTTCACAAATTCTTTTGACTCTGGTGCCACCCTTTGCAGGAGAGGAAAGAGAGAGAGCAGGAACTGATGGTCTTCTGAGTAGTCGGGCGGTCCGGCTGCTTTGGTCCGTAGAGTCTCCAGCAGCTCCCGCTCCCACTCTGAAGGCCCACCAAGGAAGAGGGCTCGGAAGAGGCCCACGTCCGTAGAGCCGCCAACAAAGAACACAGGGCAATCACAGTGTTAAAAAGTGGAACATGTATTTCAAAAAAGCAAAATGAAGAGAGCAAATAATATCTGTATTAAAGCCAGAGTGTGTAGACATAGTTAAACACATGTAAAACACTTTTAAGTTGTGTGTTTGTTACAATTAACTTGAACATTGCAGTTATCAATGAAATTACTCACACAAGCACAAATTTCGACAGTTACAAACTAATATCTCTGAAGTGTATTTCGCAATGAAATTTGAAATTGGCTGTAAAAAAGTAATACTCTATTGTCTGCATTAAACAGGATAGCTGCCATCTTGTGGCAACCATTGCATGTATTTGTTCAGTACTTTTATAGCATAAGGTATTTCAGTAGTATGTTTTTATCGAAGAAAGAGGGAAGATGTGTTGTATCAGACCAAAGCTTCTTTCCACCTGTAGTGCCTTGACATCTTGTCGTTTCTCTGTAAATTTGTCGTCTACACTGATGTAACAGCCCTTGGGTAATTTTGGCATATTATGCAGTAACATTTTGTTTATATGAACAGTCCTGTAATAAGAATAAAAATAAAACAATGATTAAAAAAAGCCACACCTGTAGGTGCAGAAGCAGGGGAAGGTCCAGCCCTCACAGAAGAAGAACCGGCTGAAGGAAGCAGCAGCAGCAGCAGCAGCAGCAGCAGCAGCAGCTCAGGCCAAGATGTCTCACCTTGTGTGGTGGTGGCAGTATCTGTGCCAGAAGAAAACAAGAAATACAATTATTTCATATCATGTGTACATTGCGCTTATGACATTTATATGTACATAATAATGTACATTATTATGTACATTTAAATGATTTGTTCATATAAAAGGGAAAAGTGAAATTTAACACAACACATGATCAAGATCTATCCTGGTTTGAAAATAGCCAATGCCTATTTTCACCTGGCCATGATGTTAAGAAAGCATTAAAAGAAATGCATACACAGAAAGCAATATAAATGTAAAAGTCAGCAAAATGTGGGTAATAGAAAGGAAAGAAATGTATTTTTTCCAACTGTTGGAGGTCTCTGTTTGCTGCATGACACCGACCTTCAGCACCTGACAGCCCTGCTGCTGCTGCTTCCTCTGGCTCTTCTTCTGGGTGGTTGTACCCTGTGGTCTGCTCCTCCTCGGCCCTTCGCCTTGGCATGTTCCCGGAGCTGTCACGGGGAGTGATGTAGGGCTCGAGGAAGGACATGACCACAAGGTACTTCCACGTCTGGCCTTTCCCTGCTTCTGCACCACTCTTCTTCACCTTCTCCTTCTCCTTCCTGCTCTCCTTAGCATATGTGTCCCTCAGATTCTTCCACCGCTTTTTGCAAACTTCCACTGAATAAACACATCAACTCGTAAGCAGGAAAGTAGTAGTTTTTTTCGCGGGGAAATATTTACAACATTGAAAAGTTAAAATAACTTACCCGAGACACCAACCACCTCGCTAACCCTCCTCCAAGCAAGCTCCTTTTTATTTCGGTCCCGGTAGCTGTGGTCCGCAGTGTTATATAGCTCAGAATGAGCACCGACCTGAGCAATTGACGTGTCCTCCATAGCTGTCATCTACTAGTGTTTTTCCGGTAGTGAAATGCGTCACTACGTCACTGGAGGAGAAAGCTCCTGATTGGTCGGCACACGCGAATTCTCCCAAAAAGTTCAACATTGTTCAACTCTAGCGGCGGCCGCGTTGGAGGCACGAATCGCGCAAAACGCGCGTCAAAACGCTTGACATCTCAAAACACGCCGCGCGAATCGCGCGAAACGCTCGAATTCGCGCCGCTCTGGCCGCGCGAATCGCGCCGCGTGATCTCGCGCCGCTCGCGCCCCCATGTTGTGTCAATGTAGACCCGCCGCTTTGGCCGCAGAAATCGCGTTTGGTCTGAACGCACCATGAGACTGATTCAGGATCAAACGTCTCCTTCTCTCGTCGGGGCTTTGTGTTTAATAAACGTCAGTAACACGCGTTAAAGGAGATGTCCCTGAATCTGTGAAAGTCTGTATCAATAAAGTCTCAGTGACTCCTGTACCTTTGTCCTAAAGTTGGTCTTTTTGTTTCCTCAGAAATCCTCAGCACAGGATTCCCAGAGGGAGAGCGCCCCCAGTGAGGCACAAAGGTACTGCACCTGTGGAAGCTGTTTACTCACACAAAACACTCACATAGGTACAGTTATCAAAGGGACAGAACGAACACATAGGTACAGTTATCAAAGGGACAGACTGAACACATAGGTACAGTTATCAAAGGGACAGAATGAACACATAGGTACAGTTATCAAAGGGACAGACTGAACACATAGGTACAGTTATCAAAGGGACAGAATGAACACATAGGTACAGTTATCAAAGGGACAGAATGAACACATAGGTACAGTTATCAAAGGGTCATAATGAACACATAGGTACAGTTATCAAAGGGACAGAATGAACACATAGGTACAGTTATCAAAGGGTCATAATGAACACATAGGTACAGTTATCAAAGGGACAGAATGAACACATAGGTACAGTTATCCAATGGACAGAATGAACACATAGGTACAGTTATCAAAGGGACAGAATGAACACATAGGTACAGTTATCAAAGGAACAGAATGAACACATAGGTACAGTTATCAAAGGGACAGAATGAACAAATAGGTACAGTTATCAAAGGGACAGAATGAACAAATAGGTTCAGTTATCAAAGGGACATAATTAACACATAGGTACAGTTATCAAAGGGACATAATGAACACATAGGTACAGTTATCAAAGGGACATAATGAACACATAGGTACAGTTATCAAAGGGACAGAATGAACACATAGGTACAGTTATCAAAGGGACAGAATGAGTAAATAGGTTCAGTTATCAAAGGGACAGAATGAACACATAGGTACAGTTATCAAAGGGTCATAATGAACACATAGGTACAGTTATCAAAGGGACAGAATGAGTAAATAGGTACAGTTATCAAAGGGACAGAATGAACACATAGGTACAGTTATCAAAGGGACAGAATGAGTAAATAGGTACAGTTATCAAAGGGACAGAATGAGTAAATAGGTACAGTTATCAAAGGGACAGAATGAGTAAATAGGTTCAGTTATCAAAGGGACAGAATGAACACATAGGTACAGTTATCAAAGGGACAGAATGAACACATAGGTACAGTTATCAAAGGGACAGAATGAGTAAATAGGTACAGTTATCAAAGGGACAGAATGAACACATAGGTACAGTTATCAAAGGGCCAGAATGAACACAGAGATTTATCAAGGAATAGTGTTGTAGATGTAAGACACAGGAGCTACTGAACACAGAGCTACTGAACACAGGAGCTACTGGACACAGGAGCTACTGAACACAGGAGCTACTGGACACAGGAGCTACTGAACACAGGAGCTACTGGACACAGGAGCTACTGAACACAGGAGCTACTGAACACAGGAGCTACTGAACACAGAGCTACTGGACACAGGAGCTACTGAACACAGGAGCTACTGAACACAGGAGCTACTGAACACAGGAGCTACTGAACACAGGAGCTACTGGAGTGGCAAGAGCTCTGGTGTGTGTGGTGCACACCGGGATAGTCTTGCACAGTTTTTCCTATGTGGTTTTACTGCAAATGGCAAATAAATGAATCTGAATCTGATCTGAGGAGCTACTGAACACAGGAGCTACTGAACACAGGAGCTACTGAACACAGGAGCTACTGGACACAGGAGCTACTGAACACAGGAGCTACTGAACACAGGAGCTGCTGGACACAGGAGCTAATGAACACAGGAGCTACTGAACACAGGAGCTGCTGGACACAGGAGCTAATGAACACAGGAGCTACTGAACACAGGAGCTACTGAACACAGGAGCTACTGAACTATAGAAGTTACAAACTTGGTGTTTTAGTGTTTTCATAAATGGATGAATCAGATCCTTGTGTTCCATAATGTTTACTGAGTCTTTCTGAAGTGTGGTATTCGACCTCATGATGTGTTTCTCTGCCACAGCTCCCCTCGACCAAAGCGCAGCAGATGTGTTTGGTTGCGGCGCATGTTTTGCCCATGGTTTGTCGTGGCTCACCAGGAGCTTCAGGGTAAGTCGGACACATGGTGTGATGCTGTGGTTGTACATGTTTAAATGTGTGTAAACGTGTCTCTTCTCCATCAGAGGACGCACAACAGCCGGCCACACCAGCACCACGGTAATCCACATAGTCCTCTCAGAGCCTTCATGGTTCTCTGCTGATGGTCCTGAAGTTTATGTTTGTGAGGCCTTTTCCAGCTCCAGAGCCCAGCCACCGTCCACGCCTCCTTCCCCCGCCCCCCTCACACTGAGAGAGGAGACCCCAGAGGAGGATGGTCTGCCCCACATGGTCCAGGCCCTGTCAGAGTCTGTCCCCAAAGACCTGGATGTCCTGTTCCCTGGCCGGACCACAGAGGAGGTCCAGACCAGAGAGGAGGTCCAGACCAGAGAGGAGGTCCAGCCCAGAGAGGAGGACCAGACCACAGAGGAGGACCAGACCAGAGAGGAGGTCCAGACCACAGAGGAGGACCAGATCATAATTGAAGTACTGACCTCAGATGAGTCCAAAATATAGGCAGTTGAAATTCATGTGCCACAGACATGGGCAGATTCAAAATGTCCGCAGGAAGCCCCTCCTGCAGGAGAATATGAAAACATGTATTCCTGCATGTGTTAACGAGTTAACGTTAGCGGCACTTGTTTACAGTCTCGTTAGCAGCACTTTTTTACAGTCTCGTTAGCAGCACTTGTTTACAGTATTATATTAAAAAATGACGTGTTCAAAATCCCTTATAAAGATGACCATGATTCAGAAAGTTAAATTCAAAAAGGTTTATTTCCCTAATACAAAAAGAATCTAAAACAGCTGTTCGGACCAAAAGTAACTATCCCTTATTCTCTATATAAAGTATAAAGTATAACATTGGTGGGCGCTCCACGCAAGTCACACTGCTATCCCTGGTCCAGTCTAGACTAACACAAGCATGAGGTTATTATAAGTAAATGTGCATGAAGAAGGGGGCGTGTCGTATCAGGCAGATCTCTGGTCCAAGGTCCGGCCTTTTCCTCCGTCTCGCCAAACCTGAACAGAAATCATTCACGCACTACCCCTCCCTAATTCTATAGATTTATTAGTTCCTTTGAGATAAGGCAGAGGGATCTCAAGGCTTCTCCTCCAGATTCTGGACTCCATCTCCTTCTTTCACAACTTGAAAGGATTAGCAGAATCCCCCCAGATTAACTATCATTAACTCACCCATGCACTTTGGACAAAATGGGACCAGGGGAGTTGGGCAATACAAGGTCTTTCTTTTTGCTTGGAAACAGACAGAGTTCAATTTCAGGTCAATCTAATTCACATCGCCTTTTAGCCTATATTTAATACAACAGTTTCCCTCTCTTGGCCGCTATTAAAAAAGGCCACACATTTCAATAACCTTCCTCAGGCGACGGGACGGGGGAATCCTCAACCAATGCAAGCATTTGACCTCTCAGTCCAGGGTTAACAGCGGTGTCTATAGCTTTAACACAAAGAGAACGTATACAAGGTATACAGCAGCATCCTACAACCATTATTATTGCAAAGATGGCCGCAAGGCTTGTGATAACAGACAAAATTACATGCTTCCACTTCCCCAAGATGCTGTCCAGCCACGCCTCCAGTGGGTTCTCCGGGACTCCTGAAACGTCATGCATTTGCTCTGACAGCATTTTGAGACCAGCCAGAGCCCTGGAAACTGATCCATCTGGATGTGTGTTATTTGGAATGTATACACAACATTCTGTACCAAATAAACTGCAGACCCCACCTCTCTCTGCTAATAGCATGTCTAGAGCCACTCTGTTTTGAAATGCTACCAGAGAGGTGGCCCCCAGCTGCTCCGCCAATCCCTCTATTGCGTCCCTGGTGTGATTGGCAAGCCTAAGCATAGTATACCAAATGAAATTAATTCTATCTACATTTTTGTTTGGCGTGATAGGGAAAATAGCGGAAATTATTGGAAGATTTTCGAAACCTGTTGCAATTTGATCTACCAGTTTGAATTCATGAGGGACTCCACGTGGAACACCTATAGAGTCCATGTAAGTTGGATTATCTTTCCCAGTATCTAGGAATGGGATTGCCCTTTTAAATCTATGCTGTGGGTGGGGACTGTCTAGGGATGGCTTATGGCCAATTATGGAAATGGGCATCATTAATCGCACCATTGCACAACTACCGGTAAACATTTTTATTAGTCTATGTCTAAGTTTTAAATCTCCACACAACCAATACAAATCACCTCTGGTCCGGGTCATGGGGACCGGACTGGGCAGGGTGACGTTGTTGACACACCAGTCTGCTGGAAGGAACCCCCACTGGAGACGCGGCCTCGTCCCTCCATTGAGTGAGTGGAAACAGGTGTAATTGCTTTTCCTGTGGGAAAACATAGGGGGCTGAATTTCTGAATCCAATTCTGGAAACAATACTTCAAACATTGAACAGTTGCTAGGGACTGTCTTTGTCTCCTCAGTCAGGTCCTTTTCTTGCCAAAACAACTTTATCATACAATTATAACCATCTACATCTTCTGGGAAAAGTGGAGCAGGGGCTGTATACAAAGTGGGACGTGCAGTGGAGCACACAACACAATCGTCAAAGCCAGAGCCGCTGACATGTGCTCCACTGTCCACAACCAAGCGTTTCTATCCCCATATCCAGTTGCTTGTTTTAACAATTCAGAAACAGTCCAGTCAGCAGTCACCTGTACGTTTTGTTTGTCTTGCCATACTTCACTATCTATGGCCTCCTTGTCTAGCTCCTTGTCCTCGGGTAGGGCAATTGAAATCCATTGTCTAATGTCTCCTGGATAATGTCCAATAACGTAAGTCCCATTCACATCAATCCCACAATTTTTCACAGTGACTAGCACCGTTGTTTGTGAGTGGTCTGTAGTCAGAATCACTCGTCCCTTCAATCTGTGTTCATTATTATAACCCCAATCCGGACCTGTATTAGATATAGCATACTCCCAAGCATCACAGGTGCAGTCCACCGATGCTCTAAAGCTTTTTCCATGTCTCTCATATTTACATGTTGACGGTGTGTAACACAGGTAGAGTGTGTAGTCAGGTCGAAAGGATAATGGAAAGATTGTTGCCATTGGTATGTGGGCTGTAATTGTCGCACCCACCGGGCATTTTACTGTCACAATCGTAGGTAGAGAGTCTCTAACGCTGCCTTCTCCTATGGATCTTTTATTTCTGTCAGTCTTATTGGACCAAAGACTGGATTGTGTTACAAGTCTGGCCCTGTCTCTTAGCTGTGTGTTTTCTAACACTTCCCATGTTAAAATTCCCAGGACCACGACCAAACCAACTGCAGCGATAGCCCATAGGATGGCTCTCCCTCTTTTGGTCGTGGGCCAGGGCTCCCTGTCCCAAGGCAACATATTAAGAGGGAGTGTAAGCGTGTGTGTGAGTCACTGTCCAACCCGTGAGCGTGGTTACGAGGGTGGGTCAGATGGTCTCGTATGAGAGAGATGAAACCACTTGTTCCCGTGTCCCTTCAGTTGAACAGCTTTGCGAGTGCGGGCCACCACTTCAAAGGGTCCGGTCCAGCGGGGCTCGTTCCACTTCCTTTTGAACACCTTCACACGGACCCAGGCTGGTGGATCCTCCGAAGCCTCCTTCTCGCAGAGGTCGAGACTTCCTTCAACCTGATGGGAAAAACTAGACAACATTTCTCTCAATTGTTCCCAGTACACCCGCACTGGGGGTGTTGGGGAGTCGTCTTTTGTGAAAGGCACCACCCTGTTTCCTGGTCCTGGCATAGGCCTCCCTGTTAACAGCTCGTATGGGGAGAAATGGTGAATGCGGTTAACAGAGTGCCTTGCTGAAAACAGGGCAATAGGCAATGCCTGTAGCCAATTCAATTTACTCGTTGCCAGGATTTTAGAGAGTTTACTTTTCAAGGTCTGATTCATCCTTTCAACTCGGCCCTGGGATTGAGGATGGTAGACCGTTCTAAATTTATGTTTTAGCCCCAGATGTTTTTCTACCAATTGCAAGTGTTTGTTCCTGAAATGCGTCCCATTGTCAGACCTTATTAACTGGGGAAAGCCATGCGTTGGGATGTAATGCTGAATTAAGGCTTTGATTACAGAGGCAGCATCCTCTTTTGCAGCAGGATATGCCTCAGGCCATCCCGTAAAGGTGTCAGTGATGACCAACAGGTACCGCTTTCCTGCGCACCTGTTGATCATATCTGTGAAGTCCATCACAACATGTGCTCCAGGCCAAGCAGCAGGTGTGAATTTTCCTGGGGAAACAGCTGAGCAGGGCGATGGGTTATAATTCTGACATATTTGACAGGACCTAGTATAATCTTGGATCATGCTTGTCTTAAAGGGATGCCACCATTGTGACATATTCCTGAGCATCTGTACCTGACCCACATGGGCTAGCCCATGTGCCTCAGATAAAGCCGCTCGTGAGAGGTCCCCCATGGGCAGGGCGGGGCGGCCATCAGGGCCGTACCAGATGCCAGTATCTGGATCCTTCTTTGCCCGTTTTTGAACCCACATGGATATTTCTTCAGGAGCTGCTTTTGTTTGGGCTTCAGCTAAAACCTGAAGGGACAGATCGGGCAGGCAGTCTGCCAGGTCTGGCCCCTCGTCCCGAACCACAAACACTCCTGGAGTACTGACCTTGTAGTTGGCAGCTTTCTTTGCGGCCTCATCCGCCGCCTCGTTTCCCCTGGCCTCAAAGTTGTCTGACTTGGAGTGCCCTTGGCACTTGATGACGCTTACCTGTTTTGGAAGCTGGAGAGCGCTGTCCAGCCTCTCCACCAGGGCTCTATGTGTGATGGGTCGGCCTTTAGCAGTCAAGAAGCCGTTTCTTCTCCACTCGGAGAGGTTGAAATGGACAGCCTGAGTAGCATACGCAGAGTCGGAGTAAATATTTACAGATTTACCTTTAGCAAACTCCAAGGCGGCGCAGAGAGCCTCTAGTTCTGCCGCCTGCGCTGATGGTTTGTCAGTTAAAACACTGCTGTTTACTGTAACAAAATTTTCACCGTTAACACTGACAACTGCATATGCCGCTCTCAGGCTGCCATTCCTCTCTCTCCAGCAACACCCATCTGTGAAAAGCTGTAAGTCGGGGTCCTGAAGTGGGTCAGTCTGGAGGTCAGGTCGCACTTTCAGACTGTCTATTACCCTTACACTGCAGTCATGGGGCTCACCCTTTCTTGGCATGTGGTCAGCCATGTTAATGCCAAGAGGTGTAAAAGTTATGTGGGGCTGAGTGAGCACCTGTAAGAGCCGTGACTGTCTCAAAGGTGACATAGTGAAGGCAGCTGAGGACACATATGCACAAACGCCATGATCAGTCAATATTTCTAAAGCATGCCCCATGACTAAATGTGCTGTTTTCTTAATCAAATGTCCCACTCCTGCAGCATACCTAGAACAGTCAACCTGTCTAGCCTCGATTGAATCCAATGGAACGCTAATATACTGTAAGATTTTTCTCTGGCCTCTGCACTTTTGATATAACACCCCGTTAGCTACCTGAGACTGCACTGTGGCATCT